AGTGTCGATCGATTATTCTATAGGAATATCGATCGATACACTTTACTCAACGTCGATTGATTTCCAATGAAAATATCGATCGATGTGGAAGCGTTATACGTGAGTTAATCTATACTCACTATGGATCCCCTAGATCAAGCGTTCGCCTTCTCTCTACTAAACATCCTGACTTAATAAGATGTATTCAGGATAATCAGAGTTGTCTGAAGGTTTCTTAAACAATCCAAAATTCATAGATTCAGGTTTCTAGTTAGCAAGACTAGAAAATACGCATTAAGAACATCCTATTAATGAATACCACAACAAGCGATCCTATAGTTGGGGCTAATTCAACTAACCTATTTAAACCCGATCCTATAGTTGGGGCTAATTCAACTAACCTATTTAAACCCTAATTATAACAAGTGAATTACTCAGACATGGCTAAGCAAATCATAACACAAGCAAGATAATAAAATAGCATAATTATAGATAGATGGAAATCAATGGTGTTCCAATCACAAATCTCTCTGTTGATCTTCTCTCCAAAACTATAAATCCTAAAAACTTTTTTTGTGTAAAAAGAATAGAAAAAAACTCTCTATGCCTCTAACACTTTGGCATAGTATATAAACTTAGGTTAAAACTCGCCAGAGACATAAATGTAATTTGGTGAAGTCTTGGATTTCAAGTCGTTAAAAAAATTGTTATTCCAATTCTTCTTATTATAATTGTTTGCTAGCATTTTTTAATGTTGTCATATTCTTCATGAATAATCATAAGAAAATTAGGATGTTTTTATGTTTGGGTTTTATATGTGTTTGGTCATACGAAAATCAAACACATATCTAATATTTTTTAGCTGTTTGATCATTAAAAATTTATTATTATTATTATTATTATTATTATTATTATTATTATTATTATTATTATTATTATTATTCTTATTATTATTGTTATTATTGTTATTATTATTGTCTCTCCGTAACTGATCTTTATATGTATTTGGTACAGAAATCAAATTTCCAAATTTAACTGTGCAATATTTTCTTATACTTCATTTTTATTTTAAGTTGTTATAATGGATATGTAGCATCAAAAAACAATGAATTTAAAAAAGTTGTTTAAAGTGAACCAGTTTAACAAAAGAATGTCTTTATTGTTACTAAAACAGTGAGAAGGAAATTATTTTGAAAATAATAGATAACAAATAAGAATATATTTTTATATTTTTCCATTATTAAAAATATTATATATATATATACTTATAATTATGTAACTAATTTGTTTTTATGCAAAAAGTATAATTTAGGTTAGATACATATTTCTTTTTTCTTGAAAATGTTATTACTATAAATATGAATCTAGAGTGAAAATATTATAAAGAAAAATGAGAATCCAATATATATATATATATATATATCTATAATGAAATTCATATATTAGAAATGAAGTTACAATAACTTCTTAATGATTGTGAATTCAGCTCTATTACAACATACACTAATACAATTTATTATTTATTATAGCTTTGGTCGCCATAAAACTTTAATCAGTAAATTCTATTCATAAATAGTTATTTAGACAGTAGGGATTCAAAAACATAGTCTTCACAACATACATTTTTATAGTTACAAGTATTAAAGTAGTATTGAAATGCATAATGTATTAATAATTTCATTACCTATAGATGACATGATAAAAATATTGATCTAGTGTTTTCCCTTAGTTAAACAAACAAGATAATTTCCAAATTACCAATAGATTCGTTAGTATATTTTCTTTTAAGATAGTGAAATTGTATTATAAAGGTAGATTTGCTTAACGGTATGATTTTGTAATAGTGTTTTTTATTTTTATAAAAATATAGAGTAAGATTATTTTGTCTCTGAATATAGAAATGTAATTTTATTCACTACATTTTCTTTTAAGGTAGAGAAATTTAATAAAGTGTATATATTGTCACCGAATCGATTGCCTTGATATAATTTCTAATTTATTAAATTTTACTCTAATTCATATTTTCTAGGGTTAGATTCAATTTAAATTTTTGGGTTTAGATTTTTTTATCTAAACCTAAATTCAAAATTGCTAAGAACTGTTTATCCACTATGATTATTAAAACATAACCTAAAATTATATTACTTAAACATAAATACTAATCAAAACTTATGTAGAAAAAAAATCCCTAAAATAAGTTTTCACGCAATATATACAAAAATCCAACGATTACAAATTATTTTTTCTCATTTATATGTTTTTCATGAAATTAAAACATCAATTGAAACTCGTGCAACGGACATGTCCTAGTAGATATATATTCTTCTGTTTCATGAAAAGTGTTTTTTCATATAAATTAAAAATAATATATGGGCTGAATCAAATAATTAGCCAACTGAGGCCTATTTGTTTACCCATTTCGGTTTATTATACAGAATTTGCTTACATCATCAGGAAATCCAAAAATCTGAAAAGTATGTGGCTATTTGGAACCAGAGGCTGGCGCGTGCCTTATCTGTTTCTCTCTCTCTCTCTCTCTCTCTCTCCTCAGTGGTCTCAAAATCTCTCTGCCTGATCCCACTTGTCTTCCTCCTCCTTTAACATCAAATGCTCCATCACCAAAACCCTTTCACGCTTTCAATGACTTCATCAATGGCATCCTCCTCCCTTTCTCCTGCTACTCAGGTCTACTCTTGATCACTAAACAGTTTCATTTTTGTTTCATGGGTTTCTGATCTCTACTTTGATTTTTTTTTTTTTTTTGTGCAGTTTGGTTCGAGCAGGAGCACTATGTTGGCCATGTCGCGTGGGATGTTTGTGAAGCCAACGAGGACGAACCATCAGATGGTGAGAAAGGAGAAGATTGGTCTGAGAATTGCTTGTCAAGCAACGAGTATTCCAGCAGACAATGTTCCAGATATGGAGAAGAGGAAGCTTTTGAATCTTCTTCTTGTGGGAGCTCTTTCTCTCCCTACTGGCTTCATGCTTGTCCCTTACGCTACCTTCTTTGCTCCTCCTGGGTCAGTTTCCTTTTAAACTCTCTCTCTCTCTGTCACGATTTGTGATTGTCTTAGGGTTAGGTTATTTTAGACCCTTGTTTTTGTTTCGTTGGTATTACTGTGATGTTATTACAGTGAGACTTTAAACATAGATACTTATAATCTGTCCATTGTTCTTGGTTTTAATATCTATATTTAAAAAAAAAAATGCAGATCAGGAGGTGGAGGTGGTGGAACACCAGCCAAGGATGCACTTGGAAACAATGTCATTGCAGCAGAATGGCTTAAGACTCATGGTGCCGGTGATCGAACCTTGACCCAAGGATTGAAGGTAAAATATTCCATTAGTACTGTAAAAAGGTTCTTGCATATCAATGGTGTGTATTTTTAATGTTATAGGGTGATCCAACTTACCTAGTTGTGGAGAACGACAAGACTCTAGCGACCTACGGTATAAACGCAGTGTGCACTCATCTTGGATGTGTTGTACCATGGAACAAAGCTGAGAACAAGTTTCTATGTCCTTGCCATGGATCCCAATATAACGCTCAAGGCAGAGTCGTTAGAGGTCCAGCGCCATTGGTAAGTCAAATATATTACACACTCTCTCTCTAGTATAAGATCTAGCGTATCTCTCAACTAAACGTTGTAAAACAAAACTTAATTTGATGGAACAGTCGCTTGCCTTGGCTCACGCGGATATCGATGACAGTGGAAAGGTTCTATTTGTTCCATGGGTTGAAACTGACTTCAGGACTGGTGATGCCCCATGGTGGTCTTAAAACTGTTCAACAGCTCTTTTGTGCAATACATGAATGAATGTTCTTATAATGTAAAAGATGTGTAATCATACATTTCATGTCATTACTCTGTGAATTCTTGCCTCTTAAATGAATTTTATGTTCATTCACTTCCAATGTCTTCTGTTTAATTTTACATTGTTTTTTCTATAGTCTTTTGATGTAATTAGATTTGGTTTGTTGTGTTCGCAGAATAATTCAAGTAAGAGTTTTACGATTGAATAGATTGAACAAAACGCCCGTATAGCTCAGTGGTAGAGCGTCAGTCTTGTAAACTGAAGGTCCGTAGTTCGATCCTGCGTGTGGGCACTTTTTAAACTATTTTTTTATTCTTTTATCTTATTTCCTACATAGTATTCCTTTTTACCTTTACACAAATGTTTTACTTTCACTCAGCTTTCTCTTTGGCAACACAAGCGATTACTTTTTAACCCATTTCTGTATTCTTTTTACATTATTTCCTACATAGTATTCTTTTTTACCTTTATACAAATGTTTTGCTTTCACTCAGCTTTCTCTTTGGCAACACAAGCGATTACTAAAATGATTATCTGAACAAGTATCATTCCAAAATGAATTATTATATCAGTAGACATTTTTATTTATCGTTTTCATGGAAAACTGAATTTAAAGACTTCACATAGTTGGGACAGTATAACAACGTAGTTCACCAGTCCAATGGATTTGGTCTTTAACCGCCAACTAACAGATTAGTTAGTTAATTACATTATAAACAATGATAAAGTTAAACCCTACATTGATATTTTAGTATAATACATTGATATTTTAGTATAATGTTACAAATATTATATAATATTACTGCATTATTAATTTCTGATATAAATATGAACCAGCTAAAATAAAAATAAGTATTTTGAATTGTAATTTATAGAACCGATCAACTTTTATAAGACTTTGATAGAATGCCACAAATCTCCTTAAGAAAACCCAACGTTTCCTCTCCACCAACAATAACCTAACCAAAGGCAATCTCTCTTTGTCTCTCCTATTTTTGTCCGTATTTACAAGTTATTAGCTCGACTTTTTGGCTGACTTTCAATCGCATTTCTTTAACATTCTCCTTAGTTTCTGAAACTCCCTTTACCGGGTCTCCAAGGGGCCAAGAAAGGACTGCTTTCTCGGCTTCGCGGAGGATCATCATTCTTTGTTCTCACGCTTTCTTCATCCACACGTAAACTCAAATCCAAACCTAACCCTAAAAATGGATCCTACGGAGATAAAACGTGTGTTCCAAATGTTCGACAAGGATGGAGACGGTCGGATCACTAAGAAGGAGCTAAACGATTCACTGAAAAACCTCGGAATCATAATACCAGAAACGGAGCTATGGCAGATGATCGACAAGATCGATGTGAATGGCGATGGTTGTGTTGACATTGAAGAGTTTGGAGAGCTTTACAAGACGATAATGGTGGAAGACGAGGACGAGATTGGAGAAGAAGATATGAAGGAAGCGTTCAACGTTTTCGATAGGAATGGAGATGGGTTTATTACGGTGGATGAGTTGAAAGCGGTGTTGTCTTCCTTGGGACTCAAGCAAGGTAAAACCTTGGAGGAATGTAGGAAGATGATAATACAAGTGGATGTTGATGGTGATGGTAGAGTTGATTACAAGGAGTTTAGACAAATGATGAAGAAGGGTCGCTTTTTTAGCTCTTTGAGCTGATAATTAACGATCTTTTTTCTTATTTTTGTTTCTTTTGATTAACCATTTTTCTCTCGCATTCTAGAAGGAACATGATTTGTAAAGGAATTGTTTAACAGTCTAGATTTGCGAGAGCACAATATTGTAAAAATTGTAGACCTGTTTGTTTATTAATTATAATGTGATTTGTGATGCTTTTTTTTTACATCAAAAGACTGATCTATTATTCAAACTAAGAGTGGTCTGGAGAACCAGATCGGAATAGAACAGTCAACATACACAAGATCTCGATAGAAAGATCGAGCTGATTTAGCTAAGGAATCAGAAACAACATTATGTGCTCTGGAGACATAGAAGATCTTGAAATCAGGGAAACAAATCTGGAGCATTGTGAGCTTTTCCAATTTCGTTGAGAAGCTTGGCCAATCATGAGGATTTCTGAGCATCGCTATCATTTCCTTGCAGTCTGTCCCAAAGCTCTGGCACAACGAATGTTAGAGCAAATTCTCTATTGCCCACCGCAGTGCTTCCAGCTCAGAGTGCAAAGCCGACTCCACCCTACTATAATTACGCATACCCATCAGCTGACCATTTCCCGAGCTGTCATTCCAAACTCAACCACATCCACTGAACTGAGTTGTAGAGGTCCAAGAACCATCTACCATACAAATATCTCCCAGACTAATGCCTTGGCTGACAACATCTGTGGGTCCTAGGGATGACGATATAAACAGCTCATTGGCTTGGAACCAAGCTTGACACTCACTCTTTGCATAGCGAGCTAGCTTCAGGGGATATCTATCAATTCCTCTGAAAAACTTATCATTCTGAGCCTTCCAAATATACCAGATTAGCCAGGGATAAGAATCCATGTCCAATTCCGGCTCCATTATAGCATTTTTCCTCCAGAAGAGATAGTCCATATTAGCGTATGTACTCTGTAGTGGAAACAAGAAAGGGTTGGTGGGCGTAGATGATAAGGTCCAAACTTGCAATTCAGGTGGACACTAAAAGATTGTGTGGGTTACTGATTCTTGTGGTTCCCCACATCGTGGACAATGATTATCGGATCTCATATGTCTATAATTTAGAGTACTTGTAACAACCATATGACATGTTATTATTTGCCACATAAGATGGCACTTATTTTGGGGTGCCTTGATCTTCCAAGCATGTGCTTGAAGTTTTGTGATACTAGATTCACAAACTACACTTTCCTCCTCCTTCATCAATATATTTTGTGCAACCCAATAACCAGATATGACTGTAAACTGTCCAATCTTGGTGTAGCTCCAACAATAAGTGTCCCTACGATGTGTTGTGCTAATGGCCATACTCCTTATGAGTAGTATATCAGTATACGTAATTCTCGAGCCGGCTCAGATCCCAAGACTTTGTTTCTTGATTAATAAGGTCACTCACTCTCATGTTCGGATGCAAAACCGGAGCAGATGGGGACGCTGATCTCGCTGGAACGGTAGGGATCCAAGGATCCTCCCATACTTTCACCTCATATTCCGAATGTATTTTCCGTCTAACTCCCAGCAATAGTAACTCTCGTGCCGCCGATATACTTGTCCACACATATGATGGGCTACTAACATTAAGCTGACGCAAAGGCGAGCTCAATCGATAGTACCGGCCTCGCAAGACTCGAGCTACTAGGGAATCCGAGTATTGCACCAATCTCCATAGCTTCTTTGCTAATAACACCAGATTAAACTCATGAATCATCTTAAAACCGATCCCTCCTTCCTCTCTATGTAAGCATATTTTGTCTCATGTTGACCAGTGAATACCTCTTTTTGGGGGGTTCGAACTCCACCAGAACTGTGCAATGACACTAGCTAAGGCATCACAAATCTCCAGCGGAAGTAGAAAGCAAGACATTACATACGTCGGGAGTGCTAGCAGTATCGACTTAATCTTAACCCTTGCCACCTTTAGATAGCCACCGACCCGTCCATCCATTTACCCTACTTCTTAGCTTATCCTTTAAGAAAGCAAAGAGCTTACATTTAGATCCTCTGATATCCTCTGGGATTCCTATGTATGATTCCGTCCCTCCTTCATTATATATCCCAAGTGTGTCTTTGATCTCCTTCCTAATATCTTGTTTGATTCTCTTACCAAACAGTAGAGACGATTTAACAAAATTTATGCACTGCCCTGACGCTTGTCCATATTTCCTAACCACTTTCATTACTTATTCACATTCACGGAGCTCCGCCTTACAATAGAACAGACTATCATCAGCAAAGAGAAGGTGAGATACCGAAGGACACACACGTGTGATGCGCATCCTCGCTATCTTCCCTTGATTCTCTGCGTGATTTAGAAGGCTAGCGAGCACTTCCGTGCATAGAATAAAAATTGAAGGGGACAGAGGATCCCCCTGCCGAAGTCCTCTCTCCGGGACAATATTCCCTCTTGGCTGGCCTTTTATAAGGACCTTATACTTAACTGATGTTGCACGTCGCATTATCCAGCTTATCCAGATTTCTGAAAAACCCATCTTCCTCATGGTAGCCTCAATGAAGGACCACTCCATTCTATCATATGCCTTGGTCATGTCTGTTTTAATTGCCATCCTCTTTGTACATCCACTGGGTTTAGCTCTTAAGGCATGAAACATTTCCTGGGCAATCATGATGTTATCAGAAATCTGTCTCCCAGCAACAAAGGCCGACTGGATTTCTGAGATCCTATCTGGTAGAACCTTTTTTAACCTCTGGCATAAGACCTTAGAGATTATCTTATAACTAACTTTGCATAAGCTGATGGGACGTAGCTGACTCATTTGGTTCGGCTTATCTACTTTCGGAATGAGACATATGTTGGTATCATTTAATCCAGAAGGCAATGTACCTTCAAAAAGGAATTGATTAACCATAAGAGTTAAATCATCTTTTACTATATCCCAAAACTTCTGGTAGAAAAGCGCAGTCATTCCATATGGCCCTGGGGCCTTTTCTGGATGCATCGCAAAGAGAGCCAATTTAACCTCCCATTCTTTGACCGGGCCTGTAAGATTGTCATTATCCGCCGATTTTATGGTTGTAGAGACCTCAGAAAGTGCTTCCTCTATGTTCTCAGGGTTCGATGATTGGAAAATATTCCTAAAATAACTTGTAGCAATGGCTACAAGTCCTTCCTCATCCTGAACAACATTCCCATCCTCATCCAGCAATTGTGTAATCATGTTCTTTGCTCTTCTCTGCTTCGTAAGGGCGTGAAAATATTTTGTATTCCTGTCTCCTTCTCTTAGCTAAAAAATTCTGCACTTTTGCTTCCGAAACAACTCTTCCGCCTTATGAGCGTCAGATAGTTCATTCAGAGCTGCCGCAATCTCTTCAGTAGTGGCATCATCATTTGAAGAAAGTCGATCTACCTTTTCCTTTAACTCCTCCACGCTCCGCTCAGAATTCAGATTATGTTGTCTCTTCCAGTCACTCAAAGCGCACCGGCAGCTTGCAATATGTTCCATAATGCTTGCACCGGGTGAAAGGTCAGGTGATTTCCACCCCTCAAGAATAATTTTCCTGAGCTGCTCATTATCCCGCAATCTCTTATCAAATTTAGAATTTCTTGATCTCCTCGGTTTTTTTTTTAAATGTCAGCCAGGATCGGACGATGATCCGATCCCCAGAGCCTCATATATTGCACTTTTGAATGAGATAATTATTTATGCCAGTATTCATTCCCAACAGTCCTATCAAGGCGGCATCTCACCGTAACTTGTCCTGCTCTTTTACCTACCCAGGAGAGTATATTCCATGTAAAAGGAAAATTCAGCATACCACAATCACTTAGCATCTGCTTAAAAGGTATAAAAGAGCTGTCAGTACGTGGTCTGCCTCCTTATTTCTCCTCATGACAAGTAATTTCATTAAAGTCACCAATCATGAACCAGGGTCCATTCCTTGTTGTAGAGAAACGCATAAGACGTTCCCATACTAAATCTCTTCATTCTAGAACAGGATCCCCATTAAAAAAATGTCATGTAAACTTTTATTCCATCAATGACTGCCTCAATGTCAATCATTCGGTTATTTGAAAAAAAGAACATTAACTTGAAATTCATCCATAAAAAATAAAGCAAAACCTCCGCTGAGACCAAGTGACTCAACGGTAAACAAACGATCAAATCCTAAGTCGGCATGAATGTCTTGCAACAGCAGCCTCCTATTCTTCGTCTCAGAAAGAAACACAAGTCCTGATCGATGCTTCTGACACATCTCCATAAGGCGTCGAACTGTGAGGTCGTTCCCAATCCCTCGACAGTTCCAACTGATTGTCCTCATGGATGGAGGGGGGATGGGTTTTTGGATCCCATCGAACCACCTTCCGACTTGTTGTTTGGTCTATCTCTCTTAGAGCTATTATGTGGACGCCTTGGTTTATTTTTCTCTCCTTGTGCCTTAGGAACAGTATCCATAGTAGATCGAAACCGCAGAGAACCTCGACGGAGGAACTCAGACTTTTTGGTCTGAATACCCAATGGGGTATGTCTCCTGGTGGTACTTTGCGAGGAAATCACCCCCTTGTCATGCGATTTTAGCTTGGCCTGAGTGACCTCTTTTCTGTGGCTCTCCATGTGCATAATTTCCACATCAAAAAGATCTTCATCTCACATCATTATTGGTTCATTATCGATTGAATTTACCCCCATTCCACTTAGTGCCTCAATGGCCTGAGCACCACCTGATTCATTATCAGCTTGTAATGGTGAATATGTCAAAGAGTGAGCCACACTTTTGCGTCGTATAGTAACGTTCCCATCCATGATTGGCTGCTGATCAAACGGAGAAAAAATGGCGCTTGCAATTCTCTTAGACTTACTCCTTTTATCACTCTTGTGCTCATCATTTGCTTTGTGACTATGATCACCAATTTGCAAAGAGACAGGCTTTAACACTTCATGTGTAGATTCTACACCTCGAATTCTACCCGATTGGCGTGCATCATGTTCATCTTGTTGTGTGTCATCAGCACCATTACCATTTCCCTTCTTTCGCCAT